AAAAAATTAAACAAGAATAAAAACTACTGAAATTGAGGAGAGACTATCATCATCATCATCATATATATATATATATAATATTATATATCAATAGGACATTTTCACAGGGGCAATCAAATGCCATTCATGGAAGAAACGACCTAGTTTGTGGCACAGACTCTTCTAAGCTGACCTCTCCTTCTCCCTATACCACCAATATTTTTCTTTTCAGTTTTTATCTTGTAAATTTGTTTGATAACAAGTATAAAGTAAGTTTGACTATTAATTTCCCCCCCATTACTCTCCCCTAGCTATATATATATTGAACTCTCACAACCAACTCTTGTCATATTTTCTTCAGTTGGTTCCATTTCTATAACTATTCCATCTTAATACTTCTTCAACCTCATTAGCTTTGAAGTAAGTTCTTGTTGCTTTCTTTATCAGTTATCTATGGCTTAGATTGATACATAATATATATATGGTTTCAACAGTTCCAACATGCTAGCAAATTTGTTTATTCTGATTCAACTCTCTCTCATTTCCCTTGATATATATTTTGCAGAAGGAACCTTCAATGGCTAGTTCTGTGGATTTACTCAACTTTACTAACGAGGCTGCGCAAAAGGTCAGTGAAGTACTGAAATCAAGTGAAATATGTTGTTTCAGATGATGATGATTCTGTAAAGTCGTTAGATGGCTTTTGATTGATCTGCAAACCGTAATATATAGCATCCATGAATCAGAAATAGTTACTTATTATTTTCATCTTGATCCACCAAAAAAAAAAACTAGCAGCAGGTGAGAGAAGACAACAGATGCACCGGAGAATCAGAAACTGCGAACCGAAACTTATATGAAGTCGAACAGAAGGCGATAGCTGGTAAAAGTAAGGCATCCCTTATTAGAAAGAGCACAGGAGGGTGGAAATTTGCAAGCCTCTTACTAGGTACCCATAATGAATGATAATCACTTTCTTATTTTCATTCTTTTAGTATATTTATGATGTTCTTGTTGGTCTTGTCTTTTGCAGTGAATCAAGGGCTAGCAACTCTAGCTTTCTTTGGTGTTGGTGTGAACTTGGTTTTGTTTTTAACCAGAGTTCTTGATCAAGAGAATGCCGTTGCCGCCAACAGTGTCAGCAAGTGGACTGGAACTGTTTATTTGTGCTCCTTAATTGGTGCATTTCTCAGTGATTCGTACTGGGGTCGTTACTTAACCTGCGCAATCTTTCAGCTCATCTTCGTAGTGGTAATTAATTTTTTATTATTTTTTATTGTAAAGTATATATATTCTTTGAAGTGAATGAAAATTGATGTTGCCTTAAATTAAATATCAGGGCTTGGTGCTGTTGTCTCTTTCATCTTGGCTCTTCTTGTTCCACCCTTCTGGTTGTGGTAATGGAGAAATAGTGTGCATGCCTGCATCCCCAGTAGGTGTCGCTATCTTTTACTTGTCCATATATTTGGTTGCATTTGGATATGGCGGGTACCAGCCAACTATAGCAACCTTTGGAGCTGACCAATTTGATGAGGCAAATCCTAAAGAGGGAGCTTCAAAAGCAGTTTTCTTTTGCTATTTCTACTTTGCACTCAATGTTGGGTCTCTTTTCTCAAACACCATATTGGTCTATTATGAGGATACTGGCAAATGGACTCTGGGGTTTGTGGTGTCATTGGGGTCTGCTATCATAGCCCTTTTGTCCTTTTTGTTAGGGACACCAGGGTATAGGTACCTAAAACCATGTGGCAACCCTTTGCCACGTGTCGCTCAGGTATTCGTCGCTGCAGCTAGGAAATGGGATATTGTTCCAGTAAACTCGGATGACCTGTATGAGGTGGAAGGACCAGACTCTGCAATCAAAGGGAGTAGAAAGATTTACCACAGCAATGAGATTGAGTAAGTATCAGACTTTTCATCTGTACAAACTTTACAGTAAACAGTCTTTTAAATCGTACCATGTACTACAAATTACTCAATACATAGTAAATAAATAAGACAACATATAGAAATTTTCGAGATCCACATAGCACTTGTCTAAAGTACTTAAACTAAATTGGTTCTTAATTTGATCAGGTTTTTGGACAAGGCAGCAACAATCACTGAGGATGATCTGTGTGGCCCTAAGAATCCATGGAGGCTCTGCACCGTAACTCAAGTCGAGGAAGCCAAATGCGTCCTGAAAATGCTACCCATTTGGCTTTGCACTATAATTTACTCTGTGGTCTTCACACAAATGGCTTCCCTTTTTGTAGAGCAAGGGGATGTGATGAAATCCAACTTTGGAAATTTTCACCTCCCAGCTGCTAGCATGTCTGCTTTTGATATATGCAGTGTCCTCATCTGCACTGGAATTTATCGCCAAGTGCTTGTGCCTTTAGCTGGAAAGCTGAGTGGGAACACCAAAGGGATATCCGAGCTTAAGCGCATGGGGATAGGGCTCGTTATTGGCATGCTGGCAATGGTCGCAGCTGGTGCCACAGAGATTGCAAGGCTCAAGCATGTGCTGCCTGGTGAGAAAATAAGCTCTCTGAACATATTTTGGCAAATTCCACAGTATGTTCTTGTTGGTGCTTCTGAGGTTTTTATGTACGTTGGTCAACTTGAATTCTTCAATGGACAAGCCCCCGATGGGATAAAAAGCTTCGGAAGTTCACTCTGCATGGCTTCAATGTCGCTTGGGAATTACGCGAGCAGCTTTCTGGTTAACATGGTAATGGGAATTACAGCTAGAGGTAAAGACCCTGGATGGATCCCAGATGATCTGAACAGAGGTCACTTGGACAGATTCTACTTCCTAATTGCAGCATTAACAGCTTTCGACTTTGTGATTTACGTGTTTTGTGCTAAGTGGTACAAGTCCATTAACCTTGAGGGCTCTGAGAAGGAAATTCAGATCATTGAAACTGAACAAGATGTGGTGCTCAGAAGAGTTTAGGCATCTTAATTAGTACTTGGCATAAGTTTAAGAAATAATCTTTGTGTACTGCAGAAGAGGAGAGAGCATGACCTCTTATATATTGCAGAAGAGAAATGATTGCTTTCCTAAATAGTGTAACATGCTTTTGCCAAGTTAAGAAGGTTAAGTAATAAATAAGTTTGTTTAGACTGGCAGCTTTGGCTTGCGTTGTAAGTTTCAAACATTTTGGTAGAGCTAATGGAATTGGTGGATAATATTGCCATGTACTGCTTTTGAATTCTTGGAAAGTGATTGCAGCTTTGGATTCCTTCTAGGGAGGAAAGTGATCGAACTTACAGATTGGTCATCATGAAAATGGTAATTCTCAGGATGCATGATTCATATATGTCTGCTCTGCAGTGATACTGCTAAGTGAGCACTATGAAAATGGACCAAAACATGTACGCATGTATTAAAAACGTTGTATAATGATATTTTGTATGTGAAGTGAAGCAATAGGACAAATTATCCTTTTGGAAGACTAGACCTCACCACACAGCCTGTCTTACCAAAGTTGAGGTTTCATAGTTAGAGTCAACCACACGTGGGACCTGAAAAACCCACCAAAAAAAAAAAAAAAAAAAAAAAAAACTCACGTTGAGTGTCAGGAAATGATAACATGTCGATACGTTTTGTTGGCGATAAAGATATCGACATCTTATCTATGCATACCAACAGTCCGCTAGAGAATTCTATACGGACATATATAATATTGTAGCTGGCTTCTCCCATGTTTATCTGTGTTTTCACATAAAGTGGGGAACTTCTGCATTGGATCCTGTACTGACAAGATAAAAGGGTCATCTTCTGGAAAACTGAACTATAAAGATTAAGACTTTGTGAAAATTCTATCGTTCTCTTTTCTTATGTGTAGAGATGATGTGACACTACTGTCACATATTAATATGGTTGTCTTCATTTCTGGCTATAATAAGAGCCCTGTAATGGAGAGAGTGATTATATATATGAAGTTGATAGATAGATCTGTGGACATACGCTAAATACTACTGTGAATTTGGACGCAGTGACACCATTGCCAACACCATAAGCTTAGCTTAGGCTAGGACTCCTGTGGTAGCACCAATTTTAACTGTCCATCTCCTACTTTCTACTATCACCCTAGCCATAGGATATGAATATGGTGCTAGCTACCTAGACGTGACTCTCAAGCTAATGCCTGAAAAGCAGAGAGTATGAGAAAGCTTCTGGAATGTCACATTAATTAGCAAAGCTTGCCTTAAGTTGCCATATGGGAAGGAAATGAAAAAACTAGTGAAAGTTCACCATCTATTATTACACTTTAAGAATTACTTTGTCAATATGTTATTTTTACATATCTTTGCCACCACACGATGGCGGATTCAAGAAATTTTCATTCATGAGAAAAATAGAAGTCCTCACGTCATTTTGCCTGCTTGTCCTTGGCTCCATGCCCAGCCTCCGGCTCTTTAAGACATGTTATTGAACATATTACCCCCATGACAACTATAATAAAAAAGAATAACAAAATAATATAAGCAATTGTAATCGCTGGCCCATGCTGTGAGAAATTATTGTATGGTACTGGAATACAGTCACGTGGTATAATTTATATACATATTATAATATAAGTGAATTAGTTATACCACGTCATCATACTCCTATAATACACTATAATTACTCCCCTGTTTTAGATCGTAGACTCCTTTCAAATCAACTATCCCAAATTTATGGAGGTCTATACGATTTTTTTTAAATTATTTTTTTGAATTTCCAGTCTCATTAATTTAGAAGCCCATGAATTTTATAATGAGCCCATTAAATGAAATTGGTAGCCCGATCCAATAATTGGAAGCCGTACACGCATCCCATCTCATCATCCGAGATTCGGATTCGGATTCCCAACAAAAGATGATTAAACGATAACGTCACACGGGGCGCACGTGACCCCCACCCCTCTATCACCGTCTCACAGATGACAGACCACAGTCGTCGTAGTAAGATAATTGCCAAAAAAAATATGTCTATTTAAAAAAAATATATATTTATCAACCCCATTTAAATTGCAATTTCAAGTCCGCCCTTCCCTTTCCCCTCTTTCGCGAACCCTAGACAGTTCAATCTCTCCTCCTCTTTCTCCCTCTCCTTCTATCTCCTAGGTTTTTATTTGTATTTTTTTGGTTCTTTTACTTCTTCGTGGTTTCTGCCTCGCACGCTTCTCTCTCCTTGTGCTGAAATGGACTTTGGAGGTGGGCGCAAGAGAGGCAGGCCCGAAGCTGCCTCCTTTAATGGCAATGGCGGCTTCAAGAAATCCAAGCCAGGTTCGTCTTCACATTACTTTCAACCAGGCTCACCTGTTTTGTTTTGTTTTTTTATATTGTTGTACCACGCGCAGACATGTATGACATATGAATGTGTAAGTTTTATGCATTGAAGCTAGGGTTGGTGCTTGTTCTGCTTTTGTGCATTTAGCTTTGCTTTTTACTTGGTTGGAGTACTTTAGGAAGTGGAAGAAGAAATTAATTTGATGAAAATCTTAAATTAAGTGTGGAAAACGTTTTAGACAGTTTGAATCTCAAGTGTTAAGCTTCCGGGATTAATAGAATGAAGGAAAAGTATTTAAAAAGCATTGAATTTTTAGCTCAAGTTTAAAAAGTATTGAATTTGTAGCTCAGGTTAGTTTGGTACGGAAAATTTAAGAAAACGAAGCTTAATCAGTGATTTTTATTTTTATTTTTTTAAATTAATCAATTGGGCACTTGGGAAGCTAAGTTTATTGCTAGTTTTTTCTGCGTGAAATGCACATTAAAGGCATTAGCGTTCTTTGTAGTGGAGCTAGATTTAACATGATGTTCTATTTCTTTTCGTCACTCCAAACTTGAAAACGAAAGGAAATTTTGTTTTTTGCTGCTATCTCATTTAGGTGTTCATCTCTGTTTGCACACTGGTGATTATAAAGTTTCTTAAAAGGTTTGTGCTCCTTTGTGCCTTCATAAAAATTCTTTGCTGTGTAGATGGAGTGCAATTCAGAGTTAGCTATTGAGTGTTTGCAGGATATGTTTATTCCGTTTGGAGTTTGTTATAACTTTTTTTTTATAAAAAAAAAAAACCCATGTATGTAGATAAGTGAGAGATAGTATCCACGGCTTTAAATGATTATTTTCTAATGACTGGCGAGGAGAGAAGGAAATGGAGAATCCTAAGTTCTCTTAACTTTCCTGTGAGAATGGAAACTTCAACTTTTTTCTTGAAAGTAATATATTGAAAACCATAATTTTAAAATATGATTTAAGTTTTGTTTTTCCCTCTATGTTGGATTAAATAGTACAGGGTTTAGAGGTCTTTCTCTAATCAACAGTATAAGAGGGTTGTTCTTCGACTATTTGGATTCTTCAATGGAATTGGTGTTTTATATATCTTTTATTAGTGATAAAAATGGTAACGTCGTGTTGAATATTGTTAAAGTTTTGAGGATTAATAACCCACTGTAAGCATAACTGAGGGAAATTAATTAATGTTCTGCAACAGAAATGGAGTCCTTTACAACTGGTATAGGAAGCAAATCGAAGCCATGCACAAAGTTTTTCAGGTTCTAATCTTAACCTATCTAAAATGAATACTCTAAATGTAATTTTGCATATTGATAATTTATATAAATTCAAGAAAGAGTTTGTTATCCAGTTTTTGTGAATAAAATATTTGCAATTTGGACTAATGAAATGGGCGGTCAAAGCTGTGATACAGGTTGAACTCTCTGTTCTAATCATGATAACAAAGACTGAACAGATATGGTTGAATGACAACAGCTCGATTAAATACGTACTGGATCCTATGTAATTTAATGTGGTTGTATGGGATGCAGAAGTTTCCTTTATATGGTGTTTATATTTAGCTTCTTTTATATTCTTTGCAACTGAAATCAAAGCAATTGGTCGCTAAGTTTTAAGACAGGTTATTTTATGTTCGGACTATGAAAAAAAAGCAAGTTGAATTGAGAATTCTGATTCATTATGAAGTCTAAGTCATCTCTTTCAAAACTATGGGGACTCCACTTGCATTTTGTTAAACTGTGTGGGACGTAAAGCTTCTATTTAAACCGTCACTGTTCCTTGATCTCTTTCGAAAAGTTTTTTTCCTTCTGTATTTCATTCACTGAATTTGTCCTAAGGTTTGTTTAGGATGAGGTCTAAGTCATGTTGGTATCTTTATATTGTAAGAGAGAGATCTTGTTGTGAATTATGCTACCTTTCCAATCTCAGACTTCACTCGTAGAAGCTTCTCTTTTGATGCTTTATTTCTTTTTCATTTCAGTATGAGGTAAGAGTGGTGGTGAAGTAGTTGGCTAATAGAAGTTTGGCCTTGTGTTCACCTTCTAAAAGAACATCTCTTCCATTGCTAATGAAGCATTTCTTGCCTGAGTTGGCTAAAGTTAAAAAATATACATAGTTCCAGACTTTTTAGGATTTTTCATACATTTCATAAGAGAAACCAATTGGCTTTTTTGTTTTGTATTGGGGCAGTGATTCTGGTGAAGAATTTATTCTAAGTTTCGGTTTCCTTTTTCCTATATGTGCTACACGGCCTTGTCTCAGCTGAGTTTATATATAATACGTGCTCTTTACCCCATTTCTGATCTGTATGCTTGTTTGTCAGATTCCCTGTAATTTTCTGTCATATTTGTGCTCAGAAGTTTTTGTTTTGTTTCTATACAGCACTTCTGGGTGCCCTTTTGGTGAGGGATGTCACTTCTTGCATTATGTTCCTGGCGGCATCAAAGCGGTGTCTCAGATGACTGGTAGCAACCCAACTCTTCCTCTTCCTCCTAGAAACTCAGCAGCCCCTCCATCATTTCCTGATGGTTCTTCTCCTCCATCTGTCAAGACCCGGTTGTGTAATAAGTACAACACAGTTGAAGGTTGCAAGTTTGGGGATAAATGCCATTTTGCGCATGGTGAGTGGGAGCTTGGGAGGCCCACTGCTCAATCCTATGAAGATCCTCGTGGTGGGGGAGGATATCCAGGCAGGATGGGAGGGGGTCGGATGGAGCCTCCCCCGCAAACTCATGGAGCTGCAGCGAGATTTGGAGCCACTGCCACAGCTAAGATCAGCGTTGATGCTTCACTTGCTGGAGCCATAATTGGGAAAAATGGGGTGAACTCAAAGCAAATATGTCGTGTGACTGGGGCAAAGCTTTCTATAAGGGAGCATGAGTCAGATCCCAAGCTGAGAAACATTGAGCTCGAGGGTACCTTTGATCAAATTAAAGATGCTAGTGCCATGGTTCGTGAGCTTATTGTGAACGTGAGCTCAGCTGCTGGACCTCACATGAGGAACAACCCTGGTATGGCAGCCTCAGCGCCAGCTAGCAACTTCAAGACTAAGCTTTGTGAGAACTTTACTAAAGGCACATGCACGTTTGGGGATAGGTGCCACTTTGCACATGGACCAGAAGAATTGCGCAGGCAGGGGATGTGATTTCTTTCAATACCTCTCTCTCTCTCTCTCTCTAATGCCCTCTTACCATTCTCTCGTAGGATACGCTTATTACAGCATTAATTCTTGTGTTCGTTGAATTTTCCAAGAGTGCAGTTTCCTTAGTTTTCTAGGGTTTTAATATTTGGAAATTTTTATAGTAGCTTGCCATATTTGATCTCTACCTTGCCACTTTTGTCTTGTGGGATCGCTCTGAGGTTTCTTGGTTGAACTAATCTAGCGATTAAGCATAAGTTGCCAGTAGCATGTGAAGTGGGAAATGCTATTCTTGGTTGCTTTATTGTGTTAATTTTGTTTTCATCAGATTAAAAAAGAAAAAGTAAAAAGAGATGTTAGAGAGTTGTTATTCTAGTTTTTCATTTTATCGTTCTTTCATGCTTTATAACTTGCAGTCAAGTGAGCCATTGCCGTACAATAATAAGATTGGGCCATTCGACCCTGTTCTGTTCAACTAGCTTACTAAGAATAAGAGACCCATGAAATGAAATGCAATTGGGGAAATGGATTAAACAAAATTGAACTCAAATTGATAGTGAGCCCCTAGGTCACGGGGCCATCTGCTCCAACAGTATGGAAGCGCATGGTTGTGGTGGATTGGTACAGATCTTATTATTATTTGGTTAATTGGCCCTAATCTTAATCACAACTCTAAAGTAGAAATATAAGCAAAAGAAAGTCAAGTCTTAATTTTTTATTTTTTTGAGAACCTTTGCTGTTGAGATGAGCGATAATATATTAAATTCACACACAAGACAGATGCTATGACTCAAATCCAGGATCTTACATGGGGGAACAATTACTCCAAATCACTACACTAGTGGGTCCTTTGCATTAAGTCCTAATTCTTAAATAAAACTAAAATGTAGTAGATATATGACTCAGCACAATCCAATTCTATGAGTTTTAGTTTTGTGGGTCGAAAATTCAAACCCTATGGCGATTATTTCCTTATATATTCTTGAGAAATTTAAACTTATTAGTAACTAGGTTTTCATTCAACGAAAAGAACTCATACACTAAATGAATCCAAATCCTTCTAGGCTTTTGTTGAGGTTAATTTCATGCAAGTCAACTTGTTAAGATTTTAAGATCTATGATCTAGGGTTCCTATCAATTTATTAGGAAACCTAGTTTCTTTTAGCATTATATATATATGCTAAAAGATAAATGATATGAGCAAATAGAAGACAGAGAAAACATAAATCCAAATAAATAACCATACTTAAAAAAGCCAACATTATCCATGGCTAATATATTGTCGTCCCAAAATAGAAGATAGAAGAAACTTAATAAAGTCATCGCAAACTTATAAGAATCACAAACCCAACTTATTAAAGCTTAAACAGTTTAGGGCTTGGGAATAAGCATCCACTCTAGACCTAAATCCAGATTACTAAAGCTTGGAGACCGCATGAAGCTGTTTGAAAGCTGCTCCCGCAGCCTGCTGCTCTGTTTCTTCCTTTTGCTTTATCTTTCGGAACCTGATCCCACACCGATTGCAAAGACTCTGCAAAAATAAAAACATCCAATTATTAAGTTCCACAACAACAAGTGTCATATATCTATGAAAAATGCTAGGGAGACCATCGTTAGAGACCAACTTGTATATCATCTCTCTAATACAGGTGAGATATGTATACCTATTCAATTTACGTACACCTTTTTGATCAATGATTCGGATTTATACTCTAATAACAAAAAAACGAACTTGATTGTTTGATTTTGTGTAAAGCTTACCTTGGGGCCAAGGGGACCAGTACGCCACATGGGAGATTCGGTAACACGACAGTTATAGTTGGTGCAGGTTTTATCGATATCACCAACTTTAGCTGGACGGCGTCCAGTAGTCTTCCTCTTTCTCGAGCCACCAGTTTTTCCTCTTCTGTTGGATATGTTTATTATGCAGTAATTCTTCAACTCCGGTGGAGCAGGAAATTCATATTGCCTGTGTCCATTAACGTTGAGATTGTTGAGGCTATACCTATCGACGGCCTGCCAAATAATTTGTATGTGTAAAACAAATTAATCATCACTTTGAAATATCACAGACCAAAAATTACACATGACTATTGTACATTAATTTAGAAGATAATAATATTAAAAAATTAAAATAGAAGTAATAATCATCATCATCATTAGCAATCATAATTGCATGGCTTCTCTATAATGAACATTTATTAATGGGTACGTAGGTAACATATATACGTACATTTCATTTTACAGCTGAAATAATTGACTAGCTAAAACAACAAAAAATTCTGTCAAATTTGTATGAGGTAACATATATACGTACATTTCATTTTACAGCTGAAATAATTGACTAGCTAAAACAACAAAAAATTCTGTCAAATTTGTATGAGATAATTATATGCAACTTAGATGGAAAAAGAGAAAATGAAAAAAAAAAAAAAAAAACCAGTGACATCACAAAGATTTATGGCATCTGCCGTAGACTCTCGAGTCTCCACGACTTGCTTGTTTTTGCTAGAGAGATGAGCACTCCGAATACACAAACAACAAGAGAGAGAAGAATGTTCGAACTTGGTGATATTTGATCCAAGTATTTTTACATGAATTAGATCTCCAGGTATAAGACTAAATTTGGTGGTTTCATTTCCTTAAGCATTGACAGCGGCGTTCGCCTCTCGGAGGACAGCCAGTGAGGTTTTGCACCCACCCCGCGGCGGCTTTCCAAATAAAAAAGGCGAACATTTAGGGTTTTAGGGGTACTTTAGGAATATTAGACCTTTTAATTAGCGGCGGCTATCAAAACTAAAAAGATTAACATTAGGGTTTAAGAGGTAGTTTATGAAACTTATATTTTGTGACCCAGATGCAATAGCGTGCCACTCTAATAATTGTTGCACTAAAAAATAATACTAATGTTTATAATGTGTTTACGAAACATTTTAAGTGACAGTGACAAATTTAACACAAAAGGTATTGTCATTATATTTATTATACACTATTTGACCAATATATTTAGTAATAATTAAAACCGGGTAGCGGTAGTTATTGTCACTCTCTAGTACGGGTGGTAAATGAAAATGCAAATAGCACTCCTCGAACTGTATAAAAAACCTGATCCATGATAGATAGTAAAATAAACCCAAAAACTAGCACACATATATATAGGGAAAAAGGTTAGGAAAATACCTGAGAGGTAGAAGAACCATGTGCAGTATGGGATTGTTGATCGTTGTTTTTGTCGGAAGATGGTATTCCTAGCCTCAGGGTGAGGTCCACCAAACAATCCGTACCTCCCAGATTGGCTTCATGTTGATCAAAGTTGGTCATTTCGAAACCATTTTGAACACCTTTGGGATCCATATGTTTTCTCTGGAAATCGATCGTATCATATCAAAGTTAGATCTTTTAATATAAGTAAGCCCATGGAGAGAGAGAGAGAGAGAGAGAGAGAGAGAGAGAGAGATCTATCCAGTCATGCATGAAAGTTGAAACTGAAAGACATGATGGCGCAAAAACAGAGAATGATCTGGAAGGCTGACACACATACACACATACACACACAGACTAGAAAGGGACAACACTTTCCATGAGTAGATACCAAAAGAACATCATTAAGACTGCATATCTATCTAGGGTGTGAGAATGTGTGAGATCAGAATCAGATTAGACAAGAACATCACTAGTAGTGTTACCTTTGATTCTAAACCAAGATATAAACGTGCATATATTTGAACTTTAGTCCTTTTATTAGGTATGTTATTTTGAATCTATATACACGTCAGTACAAAGCTGTATATACATTCATATTCATAAGTACATTAATATATATATATATATATATATCTAAAAACTCCTAATAACAGGGAGAAACATAGAGGTACATGTAAATGTTATGCACGAATGTATCACAAATATATATATATATATACATAAATTTTCCTATGCGGACTCTGGATGTTATTATTATGCGGACATCATGTATTTTTTCACTACCCCTCATTGCTTTCCTCCTTGTTTACTATGACATTCACACGATAATTACGTGCAGACATTCAGATAAGAGAATAATTGATATATATATATATAATTTTTTAATTTGGGACAAGATCGGATAAAAGCGATCAATATCAAAAGTGTTGAAAGGCACCAAACGTGTGTCCCTGTTGCATATATACATAATAGATCATGAAAATCCCCTAACATATATACACATAAATCTTTTATATATATATATTATACAAATGAACCAAAATATCCGATCCATACATATTTAACTTAATATTTATACAGATAATTAAAAATCTATAATTTTGACAACAACAAAATATCATGATCAAGATAAAAAATAAATGGATCTCCCATTTTTTCCCTTTTTGATCTGTTTTGATGTATGAAAGATCTACAACCCTTCCCTTTAAACGCCACAGCTATAGATATATAGATCTTTCATGCAAAATAGAGAGAGAGAGAGAGAGAGAGAGAGAGAGAGAGAGAGAGAGAGAGAGAGAGAGAGAGAGAGAGAGTTGATCATGAGCAAATATTGATCTCCCCCTTTTCGACTCTCAACATCGATCAGTCACATAGCTACTGTATACACAAACAGACACACATTTGCACATCAAAAGGGTGATGAGAGAGAAAAAAAATGGAAGAAAAAGGAGAGACTTACAGGGCAGGAGAGTAGAAATCTAGTGATGCAAAATGGTGTTTGGTATAAGAGTTGGAGGCTGTGAATGTGCTTGGAAGGGGAATGAAATGCCAAATTTATAGAAGTCGTCCCAGAAGGAAAAGGGATGGTCTTTTATGGAATGTCCAATAAAAAATCTTACGGAAAATTGTTTATACATGAATTCAATACCAACAAAAATATTTATATGCTTCTTCTTTTTTTCTTTTTTTTTTTTCTTTTTGATCTGTGAACAGCAGTAAGCTTCACACACAGAAGTGTAAACATATATCAAGCTCAATACTTTGCATATATGACTAGAATTTAGATTTTATTTTTATTTTTTTATATAGAGTTGCAGGATAAAATGGACTTGGAAATTTGAATAAAATCCAATCAAATGGTTTGAATAACGCTCCAGGACCAGGATTAGGGTATATTTAAGGCTTTACAACACAACATATCCAACAATTTTCTTTTGTTTTGGTAACCTTATAACGGGGGTTTGTCCGTACTACTATGCCTCATAACTTTTGGGCTGGCATGCCTCAACCCCTATATATATATGTGTGCGTGTGTGTGTGTGAGAGAGAGAGGGTTGGTATGCTATAAAAAGATAATTTCTGTATTATTTGGACTTTTATATTTTTATTTGTTATATATGGTAAAAGAGCTGGACCATACTCTGCATCTTCATCATATGATGAACCTACTGCAGGTTCACATACGCTTAAGCTTAATGTCACCCGTCACCTCATTGCCTATTTAGTAACTGGTGCCGTAGAACATTTGGCGTGCGTATTTTTCAACGAAAAAACATTTTTGTTTCTCATACACTTCTCAATTATACCGAAAAAACACACACACACACACACATATTTTTTAAAACCATATGTATTATCCACATACATTTTTTAATGTTTCATATATATATATTTTAATAATCCAACCATAATTCGCGTTATTTTTCAGTCCCATCCTTTACTAACTATTCCTCATCCTTAATTTCCTTTATATTTACATATATACACACACAGAGAATATATATATATATATATATATTAACAGTCTCGTATATAAACTTCTGGAATCACCCCAATTTTCCTTAACATTCACTTAAAAAAGAAAAGAAAAAAAGAAGTAAATTAACGAAGTTCAAGCCACCACATAGAAAGGCAAATTTGTTGAAGGTGCTACGATTGTATGATAAATTGAGGCAAAAAACAGAAAAGGAAATTGACTTATTCACTCTTTGAACTCCGTTGTAAAATAAGGAAAGATCAGAAACGGTTTTTTTTTTTGGGTCAAAATTAGAAACGATGATATATCGTAATTTAACTGGTATTTGTGTTTAATAAAACATGGAATAATAAGTACTTTTCTTTTACTTCTGGCAACCCAAAAAAAAAAAAACACTACGTTTTTACTTGGTTTGTGAAATCCCATATTCAAATATGAAATCCAAACACATAATTTAGTTTAGTGGTATTCCACGTTCAAAGTCCTATGGACGAAAATTTGAATCTCTTTGGTTGTTTATTTGTGAAGGTGTCAAATTTTATGAGGAAAGTAATATTGCCACTTGTCGTATAACTCGAAAGTACAAGCTTTGTACAGAAAAACAGTTACGAAAAATGTAGACAAAATAACAAAGAAACTACTCCCCTCTCTTATTATGGAAGGAGCGTCTTGTTTTTTTGTTTTTTCAGTACAAGCGATTGAGGGAGGGGGATTTTGTATACTAACATTCTTTGGTACTTGAGGATTTCGAACCTCTACCTACATGATTTGAGGCCAAAAAACTCAACCGAGCTAGCATCTTGTTTAGATAGAGAACGCACCTTTCCAAATTTGTGCAAGAGAAAGTTGTGCAATTAATAATTACTGGAAAGTTCTCCTAAGTTATAGTATCTATTCAAAATTATTATTTGTCAACGTTTATTCGTGTCATGTTTTACAAGTTCTACCTTTTTTAAAAGAAAAAAATGGTGCAAAGGACTCACTAGTGTCGTGGTTTGGAGCAATTGTTCCTCCAAGAAAGGTTATAGGTTCGAGTCTTTGCATCTATGTAATGTGTGTGTTTAGTACATTATTGCTCATCTTAATAGAAAAGGTCCTCAAAAGAAAATAAAGGAAATATATTGTAGTATTTTAATAAAAACCACAATTTGTGTTGAGTTTAGGGCCTACGATATGGTAAACGAAGTTCGGGCAGAAGGCTTTGGGTTTGGAGGCTGTAATAGGAGGTTATAATGAGGGAGTCCTCAATCGTCATCCGATCAATTGCAGAACTATTATTGGATAGTTAGATTGAACTCTTCAACACACCCCTCAACATAGCCGCCTCATTACAGAAGCTCCAATAAAATTTGCTGTCTTGGTTCTAGTTCTAGAGTTTAGGGCCAGGCTTGGCGTTCAAGGTATAAGGACTAGGCCTTGAGGTGCGTGTGTTTGGTATCCAATAAATTTGTCGTGGAAATTAGGAATGAAACCCTAAAATGAAGTGCTAATAAGTACGAATACTTTTGTGTAACAAATATTTAAGTATAATAGACCCATGTTAACTACATAAGGAGACTCTTGGAGTTGGGCAGCAAAACCAACAACAAAGCGCAAAATGGATCTCTTCACATTGAACAAAATGAATTGACAAAAATGGTTTTCAGGATCCAGAATGAAGACCACTCTGCACGAGCTGTTTAAAGTACAATTATCATAATTACTGTTGAATGAAAAAGGATTTGACAAAACAAGGTAGACTATCTGACATCACAATGGATACTTGGGTCTCTGTGCGAATGTCTTTTTGAAATGCTTTCTGAACCCTTCTGTTTTTTTTTTTTTCCATAGGTGAGGAAGATGTCTGTAACTTTCATTGTTGCTGCCTTGAAGCATGCTGTGGGAGCAAGACGTAGGAACTCTCTCGCAGATGACTTTCCGCCATTTGCCTCCTGCCCCCATTCCTAACTGCATCCGATTAGGCCTAGGCTTTAAGAGATTTATCTCCATTCGCCTTCTTTCTCTTCTTTGATCTTTTTGCTTGAGATTTTACATTCTTCTTTGATGTATTTGTAGAGTGTTTATGCTTCTTGCTTTCCAGTTTTGAAGGCGCTGGTTTCACCTCTTCATCTTCCTCAGCCAAGAAGGTGTTGCTTAAAGACCCATCTTCTTCATCAGAACTGAGCACCAAGTCCTGAACAATATCTTCATCCATGGCTACTTGGTCCTGGTGCTCAGTCTTTCTCTTCCTTTTCTTCTTTTTCGTATCTTTGGGTTGTTTTGCCCTGCAAACCAATAATATTGAACCAGAAATATAAAACCAACAATCATTAGAAAAACGAGAGAGAGAGAGAGAGAGAGAGAGAGAGAGAGAGAGAGAGAGAGAGAGAGAGAGAATTATTGTAACCATACTTGGAATCGGTTCCTGGTAACCAGGATGAACTGAAGACAGTAGTGCCTTCCTCATCCTTGGGGTCATATTCTTCGTCACTTTCCCGTACTTTACTTCCAAATACAGATGAATGCTCCCCCACGAGAACACTGGAACCCATTTGCACGTTAGAAAATGATATACTAAAGATGATACCATGAATATGAACCTAATAGAAAATATGATCTCAGACCTGGATTCAAACAATGAATCATTTCTTTGTTGCGCTACTTGGCGTAGAGTTAAAACGTACTTCGATAGAGGGCTTACCCCTGAATTTTTCTCATCCTATGACAACATATAAGGAATTCAGTTTCTCCAAGATTATATCAAAATTATATGAAACGAAGGGAAAAGCATTCAAGAAAGGGGTGACCAATGAATTACAACACAAATACCATTCATATGGGCTTATCAACAAATTACATCATGATAGACCTTTTTCAGATGACAAAAATGTTTGTTTGAAACATCTCTGTTCTAACAAGAAAGAAGTAGTTGTTTTGATTACGAAAAATATACCACTTTTCAAACACTGCACCAAACCAGCATGAGTTGAACTATGTTGACCGTGCAGTAATCAGCAGGCTGCTGATTTAGCATCACCTATTTGTCTTTCATACCATTCAGACTATAATTATACTATGGAAAAAGAAACACCAATATCAAGCCATGTAAAGCAGGGGCAAGTAGCAACTCTTCTATCTGGTCTCACCATGCTTTATGATTATTGGCTGGTAGCAAAGTATAACACATAGAACATGTTTGATGGCAAACTCACAAAGGGAGAGAAAAAAAAATTATGGAAAGTCCATACCTCCAGGAAAGATGCAGCTGCAGGATCATTTGGTAGAAAAGAAATTGACATACGCCTTTCATTTGTAAACTGACAGTTAGCCTCAATCTGGGGCACAGAATAGCTGAAACATTAGCTATGTGCACAAAGGCTTTCCCATATTTAAAGGATGCAATCATTAGCAGACAAAACATACCTGACGAATAAGCTCCCTCATTGCTTTCCGGAACCTCTCAACCTTGGTTGATTTGCAGAAGCTGCGCAATCGTACAGCTGGAATAAAAGACAACTCAGGGAAAGCAATAGAATAGCTCCACTGCGCCAAATGCTCAGCAAGCTCATCAACAACAGATAGCACACATGCCTCCTGAAATGCTCTGGTCTTCAGTGTTGGCTTGCTAACCTGAAAAAAAAAAGAAGCAAAATCCATAATCCACTTAAACAATACAAATGTAGTATTGAGTTTGAAGCAGAGAATAATGTCGACACTCAAGTATACCTTAAGTATCGTACGCAAATCAAGAGCTTTGCCAACGCCGCCCGTGGCAGGCCTGTTCAGTTCTTTCATTTCAAGCATGTCCAAAAGTAGCATAGAAACCGGTGTGAAAGTACCCGTCGAAGCAGCAATTCGATCAAGCATTCTAACACACCTCAATCTAAGGGGAAAATATCTAGCAGTTGGAACTAGACGGGCTACCCCATAAATTATTTGGGCCAGGGGATACACAACAGGCCTAAAGTCGGCTTCTGAGCCGTAGGAAGAGATGGCCCCGGTCCAGAGCTCAAGGCAGTTCATGAACTTCCACTCATACACCTTTCGGAATGCTTCCTATAAGACACAAAACAGCATAAGTACAACACAAGAAACATAGTGCATCTGCTAGGTTTTGAAATAAATAAATTCTTAGTT